AGCTTTTTTCCCCTTTAGTCTGAAATGTCTACTAATGTAAAGAAGCAGGTTTTAATTACAGCCTAGAGCAGGTGTCCTCAAACTACAGCCCTAGCCGCCTAGCACATTTATCCAGCCCTATGGGTGTTTTTGCCGCTGCTACCTGTCCTGCTTAGCAGCCAACTAGTCCCAGGCCCACAGTGCGCACTCTCCAATGGCCTGAGGGACAGTGAGCTGGCCCCCTGTTTAAAAAGTTTGAGGACCCCTGGCCTAGAGCTACCATACTATAGTGTAGAGGTCCCGCTAACAGCCTCAGAGTGAGGTTTTTTTTTGTTTTGTTTTTAAACTGGTGCTTTTTAGTTTTGGTTTCATACAGCTTTTTAGATGATCACAGTGCTGTAGTTGACATTCACTGGGAAAACTCAAATAAATGATACAGACAGGAATAAGGCAAAAAGAGAAGCCATTCTGACCCCCTAACTCCAGCCTAAATCGCACGCCCTGGAGACAATCACTCTTTGGTGAATAGAAACCATCTTTTCCTGGGTAGTGCTAGTGATTTGGACACAAATGCCAGCCTAGTGGAGGGGTGGGGAGGGAAACAGCCCTTTTATAGCTTCTTGGGTTTTAATGGTGACAAAAGAATAAATTAGAGACATGAAAATCATCCAGAAACAAAATCCTTAGGGTGTTTCCCCAGTGAGTTCTTAGATTAACTCCCTATTGCTGGTTTGGATAGATGTCCCTTAAATATGATTTCAAGCCATTCTAAAGGCATCAGAAGTTCTATAAGAGTTTGTTCAAAACTTCATTAAAAAAAAAAAAACACCCTGTTAATAAACACATCCATCCAGGCGTTATAGTCCATATTTTAATGCACTCATGTTAACTCCCTCTTGGTCTGGGCACATGCTAGAAAGAGTTTCTGTTATTCCTCTGCACACATGCAGGATTTGTACTTGTGTCATTGATGAGGAAAATTGCACCTCTGCGGTGATCTTTTAAAAACATACAGGCCTCTTCATGTCCATTTACGCAAACTGGTATAAGCAGGTACAGCATAACTTACGAGTGTGAATCAGAATATTTTAGAATTTGGATCCTGAGGCTGATAGTGTAGAATGGGAGCCTGGGTTCTGAAAATGCTCCGGTTTGAATGCTTCCTGTGTGGCCTTGGGCAAGTCATTTAACCTCTCTGAGCCTCAGTTTTCTCAGTCATAAAAATAGGGATAACATTATAAAAATAAAAGACATTTATGTTCTTAAAAGATGGTTGTTCTACCACTGAGAACGTCTCTTTGGCTATCTTTCTAAGGTTATTTAATATCTAATAATTCTACTATCTGCTTTCTAACTGTTCATTTCAGGAGCCTCAGCCTTCCACTCCTCTTATCAAGTCTGTCTTCCTCTTTTTTGGGGCGGCCTCTGCCCAACCTAGAAGTCTTGTTCAATTCTAATGAAGAGTAGCTCAGCTCAGCCTCACAACACAAGGCCACGGTATTTTCCCTGATGTCTAAAACTTCATCAAGATGTCTTATTAAACAGAGTCCCTGCCCAGCACCGCCCTCAGCACAGACGCCCAGTGGGAGCTCTTAACCTCCAGTTTTCTTGAACCCGTTTCACTTTCTCGGGCAAGGTGTTCTCCAGACGCCTGTGAGCAGGACAGAGTAGCGTGGGGATATATCATCTTCGGATATAAACTCTGCCATCTTCCTCAGGAGGCAGAGTTTCCTATTAGCTTGCTTTTATAATTCATCCTAATAAAATATTGCTTTTAACTGTTTTATATATGGGGTTCCATTTTGGAGTTTACTGAAAATATAATGCCATATAAGCGGTTTCTGTTCTGCTTCCACTATGGTTGCAGTTTGTTCAGTTTTGCTGCGGAGGGGAATGCTGCTCACGTTTGAACTAAATAGGACTTTTAGAGAGCGGTGTAGCCAGATGCTTAAAAGTATAGAATTAAACAGTAATAAGATTTGATCCTGGCTCCACTTAACATTTTCATTTGTAAAATAGAGATTATATACAGCCCTCAGATCCTCCTAAAAAATTAAGTAATAATCTAGATAAAGCTTGACCAATGGAGTAAGTGGTGGTTGTTTATAATAAATGGTGATTGTTTATAATAAATATTAAATACACAAACACTGTAAAAGTTGGTTTTGTATGTTCAAGGCTGGGAATGATGGACTTAGCTCCACACTCAGTTTTCTGAGCTTAACCAAAGTGTTAGTATTTTGGTTCAGGGTGGAACGAGTATGAGGTAGGTGATTATGGGCAAGCCTACATTTAATATTTTGATTTGTGTGAGGCCCTGTATCCCTCCTTTCTCAATTTTTCAATCTATCACTTGCCAAGGTTCTGCTGGCCAGCACAATACTAACATCCCACCTCTATCCTCCTACCCCTCAAAAAAGTGATTTTAGATCTTTAAAAGCCTAAAAAATAAACCAAAAGAAATACAGGCTTCTGTCACTAAAAAACATTTGCTAACCACTGACTTGGAGCTTTTCTATTTGCTCTCTGCTAATCAGAATGGAGACAATTTATTCTTTCTTTTATTTTCCTTTTGATCCACTAAGATGCTTTCTTTCTTTAATATTTATTGAATTAAACTTTCATTCTCTCAGACTCTGAAAACCAGCACAATGTTGACATCCTGACATCTGAGGACATAAGACCACACTCTAAATTTCTCTGTCATAGCAGATTTTTACTTTCTCTTCTCCAATACAAATGTTTTCATGGGCTGCACCTGCTGATTTTATAAATAGCACTAACAACTAATTGTTTTGGATGCAGGGAGAAATTTTCTTAAAGTTATACCATCCTTTAGAATAGTGAACTGATCAGAATTTTAACTGGGTGATATTATAAGTACATTCTCTTTGGATAACTAAAACAACAAACTTAGATTTTTAGATATTTTCCCTCAAAACAAACACAAATTTATCAACTGCTTTGGAAGAATATATTAATATTTTCATTATAAATATAAAAATTTTTATATAAAGAAACTCCTAACTAAAAGCTAGAACTATTTCCTTCAGGCCAACATGAAAAACTGAGTTTTGCATAATGATAATGGTTGAATCTTCAAAAGGAATACATACAGCATTTTAACAACCTATATGATGTTCAGTATGTAGTAGCAATAAGAGTATTAATTATGAAATTGCATATCTTGAAGAATTTTGAAAAATGCAAACTTGCTTCAGAAATAAACCTATTGGAAATAAAACCTAAAAAAAGAACTCTTTATTTTTATTTTTGAGACAGGGTCTCGCTCTGTTGCCCAAGCTAAAGTGCAGTGGCATGATCATAGCTCACTGCAGCCTTGAACTCTTGGGCTCAAGTGATCATCCTGGCTCAGCCTCCTGAGTAGCTCGGACTACAGGCACGTGCTACTGTGCTCGGCTACTAATTTTTTTTCATAGAGATGGGGTCTCCCTATGTTACCCAGGCTGATCTCAAACTCATGGCCTCAAGGGATCCTCCTACCTTGGCCTCCCAAAGTGCTGGGATTACAGATGTGACCCATTGCAGCTGGCCTGAAACTCTCTTTAAAACACAAATTTTTAAAAAATGACACTAGAATGTAAGCTCCACATGGCAGTGATTTTTGTTGGTTCTGTGTTCTTTTATATCTTCAGTGCCTAGAACAAGAACTGACACATAGTAGGTGCTCAGTAAATAAATGGGGAATGAATATTTTAACAATAAAATTTGATTAAACATTTAAGAAACTAGAGGCAGCCCTGATAGGCAAAGGATCAACTGAAACTAAAAAGCCAGATAACAATTTTGCATCTTACATTGACCCTGAAGGAAACTGAATTAAGCCCAACTTTTCTTTTCCATTTACAACTGGTTATTAGTTTATAACACAGCTAAAGACTCCAGGTGAGAAACACCAAGTAATTGGATATACTTTATATATAAAATGTTAGAAGACACTTACCAAATGGCAGACCAGTCTACAGACTGCAGCTTTCTCATCCCACTGATGATCCTTGATGGCTATTATTTTCTAATAGTCTCTTAGCTGCAAGTAACAGAAAGCAGACTCCAACTAATTTAAGCAGTAAACAAGGGGGTAATTCATTGGAAGGATTCTGGGGTGGCTGATGATCTTTATGAACAACCAGTTCAAGAGCCCTCCCTCAAGGACTAGAGGGAAAGGCTTAAAGTCATCAGGATTCTGCACTCTCTGAATGCCTGCTTCACTCTCTCAATTTTTTTCCATGAGTTTGGAATCAAGGTTGCCACATAGCCAAGACTCATCCTGTTTTCCTCTCCTGGGAGGAAATCTGTCTTCCTAGCTACCTCCCAGGGAGGGACAATGATTGAGCATGCTTGGGTCACATTCCCATCCTGTAGACTGATGTCTGTGGCTGGGGAAGAAGGATGAGTCCTATAAGATTTTGAACATTTTGAGCATATCTCCCCTTTAGAACATGTTAGCAGGATGGAGGGATAGGGCAGTTCCCCCAAAGAGGAGTGGACTGCTCTCAGGAGAGAGGTGGGCTGGGCAGATAAAATACTCAGTGTTTGTCGTGCACAATGTCTGTCGCTGACAATGCAAAGTAAAGCTCTGGTTTGCAGCCCGCAGAGATAGGTGGCCTGCTGTGGACTGGGCCTAGAAGACTTTCACTTTCACATCCCGGGGTGATCACAGTCCTATGACTTAAGGGTTCTTGTTGTCCAGGGACCAGTTAACTGAATTTATTAGCCAAAATCTGCACTATTAAAATGAGTTAAAAATTTTGTCTGACTTACAAAGGCAAACATAGAATCAGTATCTTTCTTTAAGGGATCAAAACACTTTTATCAAAACTTAATAAGGTTAGAATAGCCATGAATCGATGAATAAAATTTCTTCCATTCTACTGACTGGAAACTAAAGCAAGATGTCTTACCGAGGGTCACAGTTGATGAGGAACTGGATTGGCTTCTAGCCTAGTATATTTTCCATTAAAGACCAGTGTCTCAACAAATAAGTGCAGCCCACAGATCAGTGTTTGATATTTGGCTTTACTTTATAAAAATACACAACTTAAATACATATGACACTCTGTATATAAGACATAAACAACTGGTAGATTTAACATTTTCAGTTATTTAAACAGAAAGCAAATATGTAAATTACCTTATAAGAGCAAAGGGTTCATTTTATAGACTCTGCATTCACACCCAAAGGGGAAGAATGCCCAGGGAGCAATTAATGCAGGAAGCTAACCAAAAGTGTCCAACTTTCCAACAAAAGTCACCATCTTGCCAACAGGGCCTTTATTGCACAGCTTAATATTGCACTGCTCGTTAGACACACTCTAACTTATCCACGTCACAAATGTAAGCTTTTGTCTTCTCTAGGAAAGCTTATGGAAAAACCAATGTACCAACAGTATTAACTGCATCTTACAATTGTGCTAAATACCAATTATGAGAAGGATAAACCCCTCCACTTTACAAAGCTTGCAATGGAAGGTAGTTAGCTATATTTTGCAACTAAATTCATTTTCAGTTTTACAAAAAACATTGGCAGACACAAAGTGAGCTCCATGGGGTTCAGCGGTGAAGGAAGCAACATTCCCAAACCTACTGGAATTACTTGTAAGAAGGGCACTGTCACTGTCAAAGGCAACATGTGCACTGCTTACGGCTATGATTCCACCCTTTCTAACTTGAGACTGAAATACCTCCCTCCTCCCTGTGATGCTGTCATTGTTCTATGGGGAATGGCTACTTTTTTTTTTTTTTTTTTTTTAACTGATTCAGAGCTTGCAGGGCTGCTGCTTACCACTCTGGCAACCCTTCAGAAATTTAGCTGCCATGTCTATGGCTCATTTAACTAACAGTGAATTAGGTGCTAGTTTATAGGTATAGAGAAATATTTACCAGTTGAGAATTCAATATATGAGAACATATTAGAGTAAGTTTCCTGAGGTAAATGTAAGTCTTAAAGAATGGTGTGCACTCCATAGAATTACAGTGGTTTATCTTGGGTAGCAACACACAGGCCCCCAAGGCTGGACTTTTAAATTAAAAGAATAATAAAACCAAGGACACATTTATATGAAGAAATAAAACGACAATTCTGAAGGAAAAGAAATAGTAACAGTTGAGAATATCAATCCAAAAGGAGGCACAGAAACAGAGGAACAGAGGAACAAAGGGAGGGTGTATTTTAAAGTGCTTAGGTGGGTTAGGCGACTAATCTGAAATGCCTCTAGGGATTTCTAATAAGTTTAAAAAGTGTTACTTCTTGGTGACTCAAATGTGGAAGACATGGCTTTTCTTTATAATAATAGCTGTTCAAACTTTTGCTCTTTTTTGAAAAACAAGATTCTCTATAAAAAATTTTTTAGCCATTGAAATTATTCTGTTAGTTGTTACTATTAGTGATGTATTTTGCAATCCTAACTGGATGAAGAATTTTTGATAAGGCTGAATTACAAAGCACATATTTGCACCAAGAATTTAAATTAATTCATAGAGGTCTGTGAAATTTTGCATGAAGTTAGTACCAAAAAAACTCCATTGCAGATCATGCTCTGTTATTTCTTAATATTCTGCAGAAGAATTATGGAAATCAGAAAAATTCTAGGACCTTAAAACCTTTCTTATTTTGTTCCTTTTACATAAATGAAGTAGTATATGGCCATCCTTAATGTTAATAATGAAGGTGTTGGAAACTGAGTCCCAGGGAGTAAGTATCAAGCCAGGACTAAACTTCACCACATCATTCCTGAGGATATGAGTGGAAGCACTACCTAATGAATCTGCTGTAATTGCTCATCTGCACAATACAGCAGAACGAGGGGACCAATTTAATAACAGTGATGAAAACTGGCATCAGCTTTTATCCATGTACTCAGCTGTCATATCAATTTGTGCTGACACTGCCATGCATGATCATGTTTGAGTCCATTAGGCATGATGAAGGCCTTCCTTAAGCTAAAGGACTTAGGTCCAGAAGAACTCTGGGTTGGAGTTCTCCAGTCCCAAAGGCTAATTCAAAGGCCAGAAGAAAATCTCACAAGAAATCACAGAAAAGAAAACATTTTCAATAACATCAAGATGAAATCTTATACTATAAAACAATGGTCTGGATTCCTGATGATAAGCGCAATGCTGCCAAAGTACAGTCACACAGGTGAAGCTGCTTTGGCAGAGGTAAAAACCAGAAGACTGCAGTGGGCTTGGAGTATGAGAAAGTGGCTTTTCTTCTTAGATGGTAAGGTAGATGCTGTAAGCAATCAATATGGGATAGTTTCTTAAAACTCCCAAGACAGTAACATTTTATATACTTTAAAGCCCCAATTAGTGCAGTGTGGATGCAGCTAAAAATATGAGTAATGTAATAAGCGTGATGATGTAATAACCCAAGTAGTGAGGCTAGTTCTAGAAGGGCTATAAGAAAGGCCAGTCCTGATACTCCTTGTAGACTGAGGAGCAGACTATGGCCAGAGAATGTATTTTATAATCTGTAGTTTAAAAAGATTACTCTTCAGAAATTTGCAGCCCCAGCAAAAATTAAAGATTCCTCCTGACACAGGCCCTGAGATCTCCCCCAGCCACCATCCAAAGGATCCACACTTGTCTCTGGTCAACCAGGCCCAGGTCAAGGGTTGGAAGGGAAGATGGAGGAGGCATGGCCAGAAACCAGGAATCCAAAAAAGAGAAATGATGACAGACATGGGGAGTAAAAAGATGAGAGGGGAAGAGAAGAATGGAGGGGAAAGAAGAAGTAACACTGGTGAAGAAGCAATGAGAAGCCAGACTTTTCAGCAGCAGCCCTGGTTTTCCCACCTGCCTGTAGCAGATGATGAGGGATAAGAAAAGGGATAAGCCTCCCACAGGGACTCTCCTGGTGCATCAGACCTGTCCCTAGCTAGGCTGGCCCTTCCTTCCAGGCGTGACCTGCATGTACTTCCATCCCAGGGCCTGATTCCTCATTCCCAGGGGCACAGCGCTGGCTCCTGCTACCAGCAACCATTTCTCTGGCAAGGATGAGCATCAGCCAGTGGACCCAGACTTTGTGACTATCACTGCCTTTCCTCTCTCAGGACTGGCTTGTCTCTCCCCCTGGTGGTTGGAGAAGAACAGAGTGACTGTCATAAAAGAGAGACTCAATTCAGAATTGTACCGCCTCACTTCACAACTTCCAAAGGGCTGCCGAGATTCATTCATCACAGATGATGGTTAAAATACCACCTAAGGAACTCATTGTAAAAGGAGTAATTTGCTTATAAGGTCACACCAAACTTTCAGTGGTTCTGATGTTGTCTGCTTCATTTTTTGTTATTTCCTCCTCTGATGATGAATTTTTTAAAAAAGAAAATAGTAAAAGGTTCCTCCTGTCTTCCTACCCTCCGTCCAGAAACCTTGGGGACTTTCCCAAGTGAAATGCCTAAGGGATGCTATAATTACCAGCTTACAAATGAATAAGAAAAAAATTCAGATGATCTAGAACTATGAAATTAAGCATAGTGCACAAGTGACTCTCAGTTCTCTTCACTTCATACAAAGGCAAGTCATCTCAGTAAGATGTCCATGAAATGGTAACAGGCACCTGAACTACTGATTTACAAATGACAACACATGAGTGAAAGAGCAGTGAGCTTATGTGAAGGAAAACTCCACGTTGGCTATTTCACCTTTAGGGAGAGTCTGCTTGCACTCCAGTCCCACACTTCTTTTTTTCTTTACTTTCTACTTGATGGTTTTCAGGAGGGCTGTACGGGCATTCACAACTGCTTTGAAGGCATCTTCACTTCCAGGCGCTACGCATTTATCAGGGTGAAGAAGCACAGCAAGTTTTCTATATGCTTTATTGACTTCATCCCTATGAAAAGAAGCCAAGTTCTATGTTAGTAACAGGGTTAAACCAACCCACAGCATGTGAGCTGTGTGGCTACAACTAGTATCTCTCATAGTGAGCATATCCCAAATAATCATGACTCTTTCTCAAAGGCAGGACTAAAAGACATAAACAACAAACAAATAAGTGATATGTAGTACACAAATAGAAAAAAAAATACAATGCAAAATGAGTACATAAATGCTAAGGAAATGCTTAGAAAAAGAAAGATCACATGAAAATAGGCAGCGTTTGGCACCTTGTAGGCACTCACCAAATTTTTGTTGACCGAAGGAATAAGGGCGTGGGGATGGCTCTGGGAGAGAACTGACAGTGGCCAGGAATGGTGCAGACCAAAAGCGAAACAACCAAAACACCTGGGTTTGATAAACAATCACAATAGGAGGTGTCTCATGACAAATGGGTGCTGAGAAAGCTGTTTCTCCAAGAAACAGGTAGGAGATTGTTACAATAACCCAGGCATGAGGACAAAATTTAGATTATGGTGTTTATGTAAGCAAACAAGAGAAGAGAAAAGAGATAATATAAAGAAAAAATGGCAGTAGTAGATGATGAGCCAGGTGTGGTGGTTCACACCTGTGATCCTAGCACTCTGGGAGGCTTAGGGGGGAGGATCCCTTATTGCCAGGAGTTTGAGACCAGCCTGAGCAACATAGCAAGATCCCATCTCTTAAAAAAAAAAAAATAGAAAAGTTAGCTGGATGTGGTGGTATGCACCTGTAGTGCCAGCTACTTGGGAGGCTAAGGCAGGAGGTTCACTTGAGCCCAGGAGTTTGAGGCTGCAGTGAGCTATGATGACATCACTGCACTCTAGCCCAGCCAATAGACTGAGATCCTGTCTCAAAAGAAAAAAAAAAAAAGTAAGTGGAATTCCAGGGGCATGAGGAATCTGAGGTCCGAGGAAGATGGTGACACCACTGACCAAGCAAGGGATGCTGGGAAGGGTTAGCTGAGTTAGTAAAATCACTGGGACCAAAGAAGAAACAAGAGAGGGATCAATATTTTCCCAAGAGGAAAGGAACAGTAACAAAGCTTCTCCAAACAGGCAGTTGCTGTACACCAACGGTACTCCAGGAGACAGCTGCAGGCTTCTGAGTTTCTCAAAGAGCAGGAACTGGCTGGTCAGGGGCCTGGAGTCTCCCCATCCCTGTCCCCCGCCAATGGTCATCCGCAGGTGTCAGGTCTCCTAGAGGGCTGTAAGTACCCAGTCACTCCCTGGTCAGATTGAGCTCAGTCTCTACCAGATGGTCTTATGTCCCATTTTCCTTTTGTAATTCAGGGTTCCAGTTCTCCTACAAGCACAGATATGATGCTTTGCCAAATGCCTTAGCCTTTCTCTTTTATTTTTTATCAGAAGGATTTCTATTTTGGCTCTCCAAATTAGGGAGATAGTCTTTTGGTCTTGGATGTGATGGAAAGTTTTGTGTATCAACTTGGAGAGAGTGAGGGCCTAGGGTCATGTTAAAAGTTCTCCATGTCATAGGGCATATATTCTAGGGCCTTTTCTGCTTTTCACTCTTAGAGGATGCCTTCTAAATTTTCTTGTTTTAACCTTGAGTGTAGTTTTTTTACATATATAATTTTGACATTAGATAACAAGAATGACATTCTCCTTCTCTGAAGAAATTTGAATTGCCAGAATTCTTATCTCTCCCCAAAGATCCTCTCTTCTTGAAGAGGGTATAGCATCATCTCTCTTCCCCACAACGGAGTCTTGGGCAGGGTTCCTCTGGCCACTCTGCTTCCTAGGAAGCACATCCACGTGGGGCTGGTGGTTATGCCTAGTCCTCTGTGCTAAGAGTACCTTCCAACATGTCTAGGCAAGAGAGTCTCTCAAGGAAAATTTTTGGAGAAACAAACTGATTCAGTCTTTGTGTGTAACAAATATATTAATTCTGGTCAAGATTTTCTTAAAGTTCAAGAACCAGTAAAGATAGCATAAACAAATATCAAAACTCTCTGTAACTTAAGAAAAAAATGCTCTAAGGTTTTCCCCAAATGTGCTCAATGCCATATGAAATCAGTTTGATAGACCCAGAGGAACAAAGGGAAGAGAAGTACGTACATGTCCACATCAGTTAAGGATGTGGAAACTAGGTAGGGCCTGTAAGCTCTGATAGATTCCAATTAACCAAAGATTAAATAAGGAACCAAATGTTTCTTTTTCCTCAATGAATATGGTTCTAAGTACATTAATAAGTAGATAAAGTAATAGTTTCTTAAGTTCAGAGCCAATATCCCCTGGAGATGGGCACAGAAGAATTTATTATAAAATTAGACTATAGAGATCTGAAAAGACATTTAAATGATACCAATAAACTGTGTGCTCTACACATGAGGTCCTCTGAATTCCTTCATGTGGTTTAAAGCACCTTCAATAACACCTAGCAGGTTAAGAGTAACCAATAACAATCTGTCTCTTCCCTTCCCCTCTTTCCTTCTGCTATTAGATCAAAGTAGAGAAGAGATACTTAATGTTCTGGGTTCTGACAAGTCAATTTCAAGACATACTTTTTTCTTTTGTGAGAATCAAAGTGAAAAAGCAGGAAGGGAGACGCATGGGGAGGGGAGCTAGCGTGCCAAGTAAGACCCTTACAGGTTATAATATGTGTAGTAATGGCAGTATTACACCATTAAAGATTATGTAACCACATTGAATAATTATTTATATTTGTACATGCCACAAAGAATAGTGATTTTGTTTTTTGTCCTGAATAATTCTTTTGACTACAATAATTAACATAAATACACACATAGATGAGGAACTAGCAGGGTTTTGAGAAAGATGGAGACAGACACAGATTGACACACTGTTCCAGGAACAAGAACCAATTCTACCACTCCTGGGGTTCTTGGACATGTTTAATCTCACTGACTCCCAGTTTTCCCCCCTATGAAATAAAATGTTTGGGCAAGTTGATTGCTATCACTCTTTCCTCCTCTAAAATTCTATGATTTATGAATTCTTTTGTTAGGTATTTTTAAGGTTATATTAGCTTCAAAGCTCTTGCTCAACACAGACAAAAGCAGAGCATATCATTTCATGAAGTGTTTATGCATATACATGACATAATTCCCTTACGAGGCCACTGTGCGCTCTCTTTTGTTTCTTTGATATTCAGTTAATTCAATGAAGCAGAGTCATTAAGTAATTCAACATATTTCCACACATCTTCATATTTCTAGCCAATTAGAAGAAGAGATATTGCACCTATAATTTGGGTGATCGAGTCCTTCTATATGATATAACTCAGCACTGAGTATCCTCGAGCATTGCTTACCTTGAGGCCCCAGGTTTGACACCCAGCATGTCCCAACTATCTTTACTATTTCGAATTCTGCGAATGGTGTCTGCTTGTTCTTTGGTGAAACTAGCACTGCTATTTGTGGTAGGACGTTTCCCGCCATTTTCACATAAATCAACTATGGATACATAAAAGGTCTGCAAGAAGAAAACACATTCCAGAGCAGAACTGACTTTGTGAAAATAGGAATTCCTTTTAAGCATCAACTTAAAGACTTTTAATATATTCCAATACCTCTCAGAAGTCATGAATAAAGCAAATACGTACTTTGAAAGATTTTTGCTTTTTCTTTTATACTATTTAAATGTATATATTCATATATTTTAATATAGAAAAAGTAAAGGAATAAAATTAAAATGGCTCATAATCCTACTCTCAGATAATCAAATTTGAAGTTAAAAATTAACGGATAAACGCTGTTAGAAAAATTCTAACAGTAAAGTGTAAAATGAAAACTGTCTCTCTACTACTCAAGTTCCTGTCCTCGAGGTAATCATTGTTGATATTTTTTTTGATATCTTTCCAGAAAAATTTTCTATCAGTATACCAGAACATACATAGATCCATATTCTTTAAATATTTACATTAAAGGGATCAAATTAAACACATTGCTTAGTACCTTGCATTTTTTTCACACAATAATACATCTTAGAATCTCTCTATAGCTATGTATAGAGACCTTTTCATAATTTATTTAACCAACTCTCTATTCTTGGACAAGTCAGTTGTTTCTAGGTTTTTTTGCTACTACAAATAGTGCTTTAATGAATTTTTGTGTGTCTGTGTATACATTTTTGCACACCTATGGGGATACTGCTTTAAGATAACTTCGTAAAAGCAGAACTGTTAAGAGTGTATGTGCATTTTAATTTCTGATTTTGACAACTGTTGTCCAGAAAGGCTGTACCAGTTTACATTCCCATCACTGCAGATGAGAGTGCCTATTTCCCCACACCTGCATTAATACTGGGCCTTACCATACATCTTAATTCTTGCCAATCTAATGAGTAACTCATAGTTTTGATTTGTATTTCTTAAATTATAAGTGAAAGTGAGTATCTTTTCATATGCTTATGGCTTTTTTCCTTGCAAACTTCATATTTTTTTACCCACTTTTATGATTTTTTTAAGTGAAAGCTATTTTTTGATCCTTCTTATATTTCACATTCTGTGTACTGTTACTATTATTGAATAACTTTACCCAAAACATTAAATTACTATACTATAGCTACTTTTAAATTGACGTAGCTCCTCTTCCCTCAGTTTCTTTTTAAATCCTTTTCTCTTTTCAGATTCTTCTATAGTTCCTATTATCTTCTAAAATTTTTATCTTTCTTTTAGACTTCTCTTTCTTATCTCCAGTTATAGCTAATCAACCTGGTAACCTAACAAGAATTGTTGATATCTGAAAAGGGATGTCAAAGGAAAAGCCAATAGAGAACAAGACACAAGAAGTGTTAACTTGATTTGAGTCTATCATAATATTGCTCTCTCTGTTAACAATCAGACAAAACCAAGTACCTTGTTGGCATAAAGTCTCTACTAAGTAGATAGGAAACAAAGAAAATATTATTAAATTGAACCAACAGGAAAGTACTACTTCTAAGTGCTTACCTATAGAATAGTATTATTACACTCTTCTTGTTAGCTTTTTTTTTTAACAGAGTAATTCATTCATTAGTTCTACACCAGATGTATCTAAAAGGATGAAAGCCATAAAAGGGATCATAGTTCACAGGTGTTTGCCAGTGATATGTATCAATAAGGTTTTCTTCTAACTTATGAGTTAACCTGAAATATAAATACTCATAGATTTCTAAGGGTACAAGTTTCATTCATAACACACATAGTTATAGAAGACAAGCTGTGGTGTGATATATAGAACACTAGGATCGAAGTCCAAAGCCTATTTAAATTTCATGTCTGAATTCTATGCATGACGGAGTAATAGATATTAGACTAGATCTCCTGCCATACACTACTATCAAACTGGACAAATTTATGAGGCAACTACTTTCAGGCAGTGGACAACAGTGAGTGCAAAACTGCTCCCTGAGAGGTAAGCCTCACAGTCACGGGGTTCTCTACCTGGAATCCATTTCCTGACCATGTCACAGAGAGCTGGAATCTGAGCAGACACAAAGTCTCATTGAGCTAAGGAGGCAGAGATTAGAGTTTGAGACTGCTGAAGTGACTAGAAGGTGCAGTACAGAGCATTGGAGAGAAGGGAGCTATGTAGAATTAGGCCCCAAGTCTGTGTAGGGGTTCCTCAAGAGTTTTCTAGCTAAGGGCCACGCTATACATGCACAGGGTGAGATCACCTGAGACTTACCAGGTAATATTAATAGCTGCTATGGTGTTGAGAACAAAACTAATATATTGATGTCTAGTGGTGCTAGAGAAAGAGCCTGGGGACACCACAGTTTGGCCTTGCCAGAGTGAAGAGACTGCCATAACACCTCATTAATAGCCCTAGCATCTAGCTAAAGCACCAGAAAAAGATTGTGCCTCAGAAATTATAGACTTACCCTAACAAAACCTAAATCAAGAGCTGATGATATACATGAAAGACAGAATTGGGAAGCTGAGTCCTACCAAATGAGAAGTGCTTGGGAAACATTTTGGGCTTCCTTCGAATCCTTGCTATTAAAGCAAAAAACCAAGCCTACACAAGTTCACTATAATCTGCCAATAATTGAACTGCCTCCTGAAACAAGAATCAACATTCTTCTGAGGAAGAAAAGAGAATCTAGAGTCTCCACAATACATTAATATTATCTATAATGTCCAGTGCTCAATCAAAAATCACTACTCACACAAAGAAACAAGAAAATGTGATCTATAGTCAAGAAAAAAAGTAGTCAATAGAATTGAACCCAAGATGATTGAAATGTTGGACTTAGCGGACAAAGACTTTAAAATATTTTAAATATTTTACTTTACTACTTTAAAACATTTTAAAGTAGTAAAGGAAACTATATTCTTAATGAATGAGCAGATAGAGAAATCTCAGAGAACTGGGAACTATATGAAAAAAACCAAATGCAAATTCTAGAACTGAAAAGTACTGAATTGAAAAATTCACTCAGTGGGTTTAACAGCAGATTATCAGTGAACTTGAAATCAAATCAAGAGACTGTGTAATTTGAAAAATGCAGAAAAAAATGGAAGAAAAATAAACATAGCCTCAGAGACTGTGGGACAAAATTAAATGGTCTAATGTACATGTAATTGGAGCCCAAGAAAGAAAAGAGAGTGAGAATGTGGCCTCCCAAAATTTAAAGAAATAATCATAAAAAAGCTTCCCAAATTTGATGAAAAACACCTACCTACCAATGTTAGAAATTCAACAAATCCCAAATAGGATAATATGAAGAGAACCACACCTTGGCACATCATAGTATAACTCCTAAAAACCAAAGATAAAGAGAAACTCCTAAAAGCAGCCAAGGCGTGGGGGGCAGGCACATTATGTACAGAAGAATATGAGTAAGAATAATTGCTAAAATGTCAGGAGACACAACAGCCAGAAGTGAATGGACTGACATCTTGAAAGGGCTGGAGGAAATTTAATCTTTAACAGTTATATCCCTTGGACAAGTCACTTTACTACTCTTAGATGTTGTCATATATGAACTGAGAGTAATACTTGCCACACATTGTGGTTACAAGTCTCAAATGAGATGAAACATGTAAACTTCTCCAGAATTGTAAAATACTATTCAAATGGTTAGGTATCATTATTGCACATATATACATACAAGCTCACATAGGTTCATGTACTCAAAAGAATAGAAAGCATGGCAAACCAACTTGACTTTATTTTATCTTGAAATAGAAGCTATTTTTACCCAGTTCAGCCTGTCAGCCAAGAATGAAACCTGTCTTCTAGTAGGAGGAGTGACATCTTATGAGAAGGAAATGCAGCATCAAAGATTAAATACAATCCCACTCAGTAATTAAGAACAACTCTTTATAGCTTAGCTACATTATTTGAAATGCTAAAAATTCCCAAAATATCAGATATATTCATAAGAAGAAAAATACATTATTCATGTCACCACTTCCAAATGTATCTATAATTAAGAGTTGATTTTATAATTTATTATCTTAAATAGCCTCCTTCTCCTAAAATTATTCAAGATTAGTAGGCCTTACAAAGTAACCGTCTATTCAGGCTACAATGTGAGCATATCCTTCTATTGTCTACTTGATTGGTGAGACCTTATTTTTATGTGTAACTGGCTGGAGTCTGCAATGATACTCTCCTATTCTTTAACTACAGCCCTGTGGGCTACAATATAAGATTATATTAGCTGTGCCAAGGCAATTTTGTCACAGAAATGCTTCCATTTGATTATGCATACAAATGTAACACCATTAACCAAAGGTAGTTTTTGAAGAAAATCCTTGTCCCACTTAAGTTGTGCATACTAACTGTCGTTAACTCGATCATCAGAATCACCCAGAGAGCTTTTCCAAAATATAGATTTTTTGGCTCCATCACAACATAAAGCTTCCGGTAGGTCTAGAGTCCAGAAATACGCATTTTGAAGATTTCCCCAGGTAATTCTCATGATCAGCCAAGTCTGGTCTAAAATAGACAGATCACACACACACATACACACTCTTTCTCTCGCTCTCTAGCAGACAGATCATACATACTCTCTACTTCACCAGGTGCTTTGAAAAGAAAGACTTTATTCTAATGAGAAGTTCTTATGACTATTTTGCTTCTCACAATTTAAACTAAAAATTGGCATGGTTGGCCTTGACACAAACCTTAATATAACAAAATGCTGGGTTACCTGGAACATCTCATTGATTCCTTCTCCAGTTTGTGCTGAAGTTTCAAAGTACAGGAACCCTTTGCTTTCAGCCCAAAGACGCCCTTCACTTTCATCTACACAGCGGTGCTTGGTACAGTCAATCTGAAATAGAATGTTGGGGGGCACAGAGAAGATTCCAGCCTTGTCTCACTAGAATAGGCCCAGTGAGGTCTTTGTAAATCCTCTACTGAGGCAAAACTATTCTTTTTTTTTTTTTTTTTTTTTTTTTTTTTGAGACAGAGTCTCGCTTTGTTGCCCAGGCTAGAGTGAGTGCCGTGGCGTCAGCCTACCTCACAGCAACCTCAAACTCCTGGGCTCGAGTGATCCTTCTGCCTCAGCCTCCCGGGTAGCTGGGACTACAGGCATGCGCCACCATGCCCGGCTAATTTTTTTTTTATATATATATATCAGTTGGCCAATTAATTTCTTTCTATTTATAGTAGAGACGGGGTCTCGCTCTTGCTCAGGCTGGTTTCAAACTCCTGACCTTGAGCAATCCGCCCGCCTCGGCCTCCCAAGAGCTAGGATTACAGGCGTGAGCCACAGCGCCCGGCCCAAAACTATTCTTAATGAACATCAGCACCAGTGTATAAAATTGCCAAGGCCAAAAGAGACCCCCCCATCCCCCCACCCCCCACAAAGAAACAATATTGAATATAGACTGTTTTTCTGTGGCAACAGGACTAGTGCCTGCTTATCCCTTGGGAAAACAGCTGCTACTGACCTCAGTGAAAGTTGGCTTCCTAATTATCTGCCATCCCCTCAGGGTACAGTCTGCTTTCCATACCTTTCCATAGTATATATTTCACCTAATTAATGCTCCAATCAGATCACAGAGTGATTACTGGGATTCTCCTGCTCAGTCACCAACATCCTTCCCCAAGTATGGTACCAGAAAAAAAATGGATAAAAATTCTTATACACCAAGTTTGGGGTTTTTGTTTTTGTCTTAGGGACTTGTTTTGAAAGGTTGTTGGTGCCTATATTACAGAGTAAGGAATTTTTTTTTCTTTTTATCTGTTCCCCATCACTCAGAGCACTGCTCATCCTCTAGAAAGCTGCACATTTCTAAAAGCTGCACATTTCTAAAGCAGTTACCTTGTTGGCACACACTACAAATATAATATTTTCCATGTTTCCATGAGGTCCAAGCTCTTGCTTCATTTCTGCTAGCCATGCATCAAGGGCATCAAAGGAATCTTTCTGCCCAACATCATAGACCAGTATCACACCCTGTGTGTCCTTGTAAAACTCATTACGAACCTTCAAGGAAAAGAACAGATGAATAAAATGCAGGTTTTGCAATTTTATAAGAATGTATCTCACAGTCATTAACTTGGCAAATTGTGTTCTTTTGTGTATTCATAATATTTGCAATTGTATCTCAGCATCTACTGATCTTTAGAGGACTTTTTGTAGAATCAAGGTAACATAATAAAAAAAAATCTATTAGGAAGGACTTACAGTAGAAAACAATGGCCTTCTGCCCCATCACCCCTTCCCACCTCCAGTTCCACTCCCCAGAGGCAATCCATCTTTAATTGTTGCTAATAGACCTTAAAAGAACACCAATGATATAAAGGTCTTAGAAAGAATTAAGAAGGTAAGTGAACAATTAAAAAGAACTTAAGGCAAAAATGACACAAGTATCAGCAATGGGTACAGGCATTTATTTATAACATCCCAAAGCTGGCTTCTCCCAGGGTACCAGGCAGAGTTTCCCTGACTCTTGGGTCTGTACACCGACTTCAGAACTCCAAACTCAGAGCCTCAGTGTCACATAATGGAAAAGAGCACAGGCTCTGGTGTCAGACACATCTGGGTTCACACTTACTTACTAGTTGTGTGATCTTGGGCAAGTCACTTAACCTCTCTGCGTCTCAGTTTCCTCATCTGTAAAATGGGGATAATACTACTTACTTCACAGGGTTATTAAGAGGATTAAATGAGATAATGAAGGCAAAGCAGTTAGCATAGTGCCTGGAAACAATGTATACTAGCACCTTCTCCCTTTCTTCCTTGCATTCATTCTCTGATTGTCCTTTGATGTTTAGAAATGGCATATCAGCTCTGAAGTATAGCTCCAATTCTGGGAAGCAGCAGCATGAAGGACAGGGCACACTCAAGTGGCAGAGGCTATAAGAAGTTGTCTGGGTGAGAAGCAGCATTGACAGACTGGGGATTTCAGGACAAAATTCCAGAAAGAACCTTGACAGAGGCCATATGTTATATGTTCTTTTCACAAAATTCCAGTATGTGCTCAGACTCATGGTGGATTTGTAATAAGAAATGAAGACATCTTACACACATCAGGAATGGGTTTCTGAGCACAGACAGACAACTGGACCAAGAATATAAGTGCGCCTATTAATTTACAGAAACTTAAGAAGCTAGCCCCTAAAGTTAAATTCAACCAAATCAAAACCAAGACCAACAGTCTTCTCCCTCAGGACTCCTGGTCCTTGGGCTTCCACAGCAGTCACCAGTGGGCCCTCCCTCTTCCCTGAGACTCTTGCCTTGGTTCCCACACACCACACATTCCCTGGGTTTTTCAATTCTCTCCCTCACCAACTCCTCTTCATTCTATACTTCCCACCCCAGCCTACCACCAATTCCCGAAATCCTGTCCTGGGCCTTCATCTTTTCTTTTTGCATCCTTCCTCCCAAATCAGCAGCATTAACCACTTGTACAGCCTCAACTGTGAGTATCTCCAAGATGAGCCCTCTCATCTGAGCTTCCAGATTGGCATTTCTAATCAGCACTATACTCTTCCAGCTCAAAGTCCTGCTGGGATCTCAAATTCAATGTGTACATCAGGAAGCCCTTCAACTTATTCCTTCTCAAACTATCCCTTTTCTTAAACTTTGGTGATAAAAGTAGCACACCAGTCTCTGAGCCATTCAGGTTGCAGGCTTGGTGCTAACCTTTGCTGCTGGCCTCTTCCTTTGTTCAGCAGACTCAAACAATCCTGCAGAAGCTGTCTCTACCATGTTTCTCACATCTGTCACTTCTTTTCCATTTTTATTTCCAACATTATCTCTTGACTGCACCACTGCAAGAGTCTTCTAAGTAATCTTCCTAGCATTCTTACACACTGTGTATATTTATCTTTCTACAGTCCTGGCTCAAAAATTCTTTAGTGTTTCCCCACTGCCAACCCTCCAAAGTTCCAACTCTCTTAAATGATGTTGCAAGTTTGTATTCAGTCCCCCACCAATCTCCTCAGTCCTATCCCCATACTATCCCCTGAACTTCAGACTGGATAATTTCTCATTCCCAAACATTCTATTGCCTTACTAGCTCCATCTGGAACTGACATGTCTTTATCTTTACTCTTTTAAGGCCTAGTTATAATGCCGTATCTTTCATGCAGCTTTTCTGTCCCCTTCCTTACTACCTAGCACCTACCCCTGCCAAAGAGAATGGAACTTCCATGTCCTTTGGAATACCACTGTGTTTTGTACTTCTAACAGTGCTGATGTCACTTCCTGCCCAATTTTATAGTTACTAGCACATCTAGCTGTCTTCCCCACTAGACTGGAAGTAACATGAAGGCATGCATCTTGATGCATCCATCCTTGTGTCACCCATGGGGCCTAGCAGATACAGGAATGCCTCGTTTTATTGCACTTCACATCACTGTGCTTTGCAGATATGGCATTTTTTACAAATTCAAAGTTTGTGGCAACCCTGTGTCAAGCAAGTCTCTCAGCACCATTTTTCTAACAGCATGTGCTCACTTCATGTCTCTGTGTCACATTTTGGCAATTTTCATAGTATTTCAAACTTTTTAATTATTATTATATTTGTTATGGTGACCTGTGATCAGTGATCTTTGATGTTACTATTGAAAATGTTTTGGGGTGTTACATACCACAACCATATAAGATGGAGAACTTAACTGATAAATGTGTATGCTGCTCCACCAACCAGCTGTTCCCCCCCACCCTTTCTCCTCAGGCCTCCCCATTCCTTGATACACAACAATATTGAAATTAGGCCAGTTAATAATCTTACAGTGACCTCTAAGTATTCAAAGAAAGAAAGAATCACATGGCTCTCACATAAAATCAAAAGCTATAAATGATTAGTGTTATAGCTCTTTTAGAATTTGTCTAGCACGTTTTCTGGTCCTCACTGGAAGATGCTTTAAAAAATAAAATATAATTTTAAAAAGCTAGAAATGGTTGAGCTTAGTGAGGAAGGCGTGTTGAATGCCAAGATAGGCTGAAAGCCAGGCCTCTTGTAACAAACAGTTAGCCAAGTCATGAATGCAAAGGAGAAGGTCTTGAAGGAAACTGAAAGTGCTACTCCAGTGAACAAATAAATGATGAGAAAGTGAAAGAGCTTTATCACTGACATGGAGAATGTTTTAGTGGCTTGGATAAAAGTTCAAACCATCCACAACATTCCCCTAAGCCAAAGCCTAATCCAGGACAAAGGCCCTAACTCTCTTTGCTTCTATGTGGGCTGAGAGAGGTGAGGAAGCTGCAGAAGAAAAGTTTGATGCTAGAAAAGGTTGGTTCATGAGGTTTAAGAAAAGAAGCCATCCCCATAACATAAAAGTACAAGGTCAAGCAGCAAATGCTGATGTAGAAGCTGCAGCAAGTTAGCCAGAAGATCAAGCTAAGATCATAGATGAAAATCTGAAGCTAAACAACAGATTTTCCATGTAGATGAAATAGCTTTCTACTGGAAGAAGATGGCATCTAGGACTTTCACAGCTAGAGAGGACAAGTTAATGCCTGGCTCCAAAGCTTCAAAGGACAGGCTGACTCTCTCGTTAGGGGCTAATGCAGTAGTAGACTTTAAGTTTCAAGGCTCATTTACCATTCCAAAAACCCTAGGGCTCTTGTGAATTATGCTAAATCTACTCTGCCTATTCTCTACAAATGGAACAACAAAGCCTGGATGATAGCACATCTGTTTGCAGCATGGTTTACTAGATATTTTTTAAGCCCACTGCTGAGACCTACTACTCAGAAAAAATGATTTCTTTCAAAATATTACTGTCAATATTATTTATTGACAATGCACCTGGTTACCCAAGAGCTCTGATGGAGAGGTACAAGGAGATTAATGTCGTTTTCATGCCTGCTAATATAACATCCATTCTGCAGCTCACAGATCAAAGAGTAATTTTGACTTTCAAGTCTATTATCTAAGAAATATATTTCACAAGGCTACAGCTGCCACAGATAATGATTCCTCTGATGGATGTGGGCAAAGTAATTTGAAAGCCTTCAGAAAGGATTCACCATTCTAGATGCCATTAAGAACACTCATGATTCATGGGAGTCAGTAAAAATATCAACGTTAACAGGAGTTTGGAGAAGTTGATCCCCCCCCCATGGATGACTTTGAGGGATTTAAGATGTCAGTGGAAGTAGTAACTGCAGATGTAGTAGAAATAGCAAGAGAACTAGAACTAGAAGTGGAGCCTGACCATGTGACTGAATTGCTGTAACCTCATGATAAAATTTTAATGGATGAGCAGTTGCTTCTCACAGATGAGCAAAGAAGTAGTTTCTTGAGATGGAATCTAATCCTGGTGAAGATGCTATGAACACTCTTGAAATGACACAGGAGTTAGAATATTACATAAACTTAGTTGATTGACTCCAATTTTGAAAGTTCTACTGTGGGTAAAATGCTATCAAACAACAGCACATGCTACAGAGAAATCTTTTGTGAAAGGAAGAGTTAATTGATGGGGCAAAGTTCACTGTCGCCTTATTTTAAGAAACAGCCACCCTAATCTTCAGCAACCACCATCCTTATCAGTCAGCAGCCATCAACATCCAGGCAAGACCCTCCTCCAGCAAAAAAGATTATGGCTCACTGAAGGCTGATCATCAGCATTTTTAGCAATAAAGCATTTTTTATTTTTTAATCAAGGTATGTACATTGCTCTTTTAGACATAATGCAATAAAGCAATATGCATTTTTAGCAATAAAGCATTTTTTATTTTTTAATCAAGGCATGTACATTGCTTTTTTAGACATAATGCTATTGCACACTTAATAAATAGACTACAGTAAGTAATAAACATAACTTTTATACGCATTGGGAAACCAATAAATTTTCGTGACTCACTGTATTGTGATTTTTGCTTTATTGTGGTGGTCTGGGACTGAACCCTCAGTATCTGCAAGGTATGCCTTTACAAGTATTTGAGACAGATTTGTTGGATCAAATGGCTGGATATGCTACAATGGAGAACAAAAGTAGAGGGAAAAAGGAAAAATTTCAAAATGCAGG